TGGCTTCTACAGGCAAGGTAACAGCACGGAAGGAGGATGGAACTCGTGTGGCGACGCCATCTCAGTCGACTACTGCATCCAAATCATCGTCATCCGCCGCAAATACAGCCGTGAATACGACAGAAAGCAGCTCGCTGGCCACTGCTGGTCGACCCTTCGCTTCGTACGCGGCCGCTATGACCTCCATTCCTCAAGACTGGCACATCGAGTTCAGCGTAGATGACAAGCCTGTCTCCAGTGACACCACAATCTACCGTGCGGTCCATCACAACCGTGAGCACGCGGATGCTGGGGCAAGAAATGTGTGGTCTGCCATTCACACCGTCAAATTCAGGCGGGTTCCAGGACCACCGCCCCCGGAGCCTTCTACCATTACACCCGGCGTTGAAGAACTGTCCAGCAACGGCGCTGAGATGCCATCCTCTCTGAGTAAAGATTCCATCACAGCGCCGATCCTACGTCTCCTTCGGTCTTTGCACGAGATGAATGTCACTTTAGATGACATACTTGCTGATACCAAGGAGCTTGTAGCACTAAGACCGGAGCCGCTGGCGCAATTTATCAATACCAAGCTCACTGCTAAGCTCAACCGTCAGCTGGAGGAACCGCTCATCGTGGCTAGCAGCTGCCTGCCTACCTGGAGCGAAGATCTGGCACGGGCTTTCCCCTTCCTATTCCCCTTTGAAACTCGGCATCTATTCCTTCAGTCAACTGCTTTTGGCTACGCCCGAGCGATGATGCGATGGCAAAATTCCCAGAATGCGGATGACAGCCGGAGCGACCACCGACGCGATGACCGACCATTCCTGGGACGTCTCCAACGTCAAAAGGTCCGGATCTCCAGAAGTCGCATCCTTGAGTCGGCCATGAAGGTCATGGAACTCTACGGCTCTTCCCCCAGCGTTCTTGAGGTAGAGTACTTCGAGGAAGTCGGAACGGGATTGGGCCCGACTCTTGAGTTTTACTCCACAGTCTCGAAGGAATTCTCCAAGAAGAAGCTCAAGATTTGGAGAGAAAACGACTGCCACAACGACGAAGAGTTTGCCTTTGGCAAGCGTGGCTTGTTCCCGGCTCCCATGAGTGAGGAACAAGCTGCCTCGGAGTCTGGAAAGAAACAACTGAGCTTGTTCAAAACGCTTGGAAAGTTCGTTGCTCGTTCGATGCTTGACTCTAGGATCATCGATATCTCTTTCAACCCAGCCTTCTTCCGTATTGCCGATAGCTCTTCCTCGGTGGCTCCGTCTCTGGGCACAGTTAAGGCCGTCGACCAGGATCTTGCAAACTCTCTTCTGTTGCTGAAGCGCTTCGCAAACGCGAAGAGGGCAATCGACTGCAATCGGACTCTCTCGGCCGCAGCGAAGTCGCAAGCTCTGCAGAATGTCGAAATCGACGGCGTCAGAGTAGAGGATTTGAGTCTTGACTTCACTCTGCCTGGTTATCCTTCAATTGAACTAATCGATAACGGTTCTAACGTTCCTGTGACGATTGAAAATGTCGATGAGTACGTTGATCGAGTGGTCGACATGACACTGGGTAGCGGCGTGCAACGTCAAGTGGAAGCGTTCCGCACTGGGTTCTCGCAGGTCTTCCCGTACTCTGCGCTTCGGACTTTCACCCCCAATGAGCTCGTCATGCTGTTCGGAAGAGCCGAAGAAGATTGGACTATTGAGAGTAAGATACCTTCCGTATTTGGAAACCGGGAAGCTGCTTATTAACATCATGACTTTAGCTCTCATGGACTCAATCAAGGCCGATCATGGATTCAATATGGACAGCAAGAGCGTTCGAAACTTACTGCAGACAATGAGCGAGTTGGATACACAGCAACGGCGCGATTTCCTCCAATTTGTCACCGGCAGCCCGAAGCTTCCTATTGGAGGTAAACTGCAGCTTCCCTCTTTGTCCAGCTAAATAGTGACTAACTCTCTATTTCTTTTCCAGGTTTCAAGAGTCTCACCCCTATCTTCACCGTTGTCTGTCGTCCCAGTGAACCTCCTTACACTCCCGATGACTACCTTCCCAGCGTCATGACATGTGTGAACTACCTGAAACTGCCAGACTACAGCAGTCTGGAGGTTCTTCGAGAGAGGCTGTCCGTTGCTATTCGAGAGGGTCAGGGTGCCTTCCACCTGTCCTGAATTCGGTCATTGTCGATCATTCTGCTTTGGCCTCTATAATTCCTCGCCTCCATGGCTCCTCCCATAACATAGGGATATCACACAGTTTACGTCATCTACAATCAAACATCAAGAAAAAAACTAATGAATCAATTGCAAAAAAGAGAACAGCGTTTCGGACAGCATATTGGTACGGTATCTAGTGACAGCATCATACCCCTTGGCGATGTACTCTCGTGACGACCGACGGGAATCATTTTTCTATTACTTCGCCCCTGTCGTCTTTGAATTTATCAAATTTGCACTTGTTGTTTCTGCGTGTTAATATTCCAGCTTGGTAAGGAGTCCAGAGGGTTCTCAGTCTCAGAAATAACCGCTAGATAGAAATGGAATTATCTGGTCTTGTGTCGATTATATTGTGTTCATTAAATTCTATTACGCTAACGCCAGGTCTATTTACTCTATCCTTGTCTATAACTCTATTAGTACGCAGCCGGGAAAAGCAGGGGTACACAGAGGCTCTTGCAACCGACGAGGCGTAAGTTTCAGCCTCTGTACAAGGGGACCATGGACTAATTGGCTGAGTCAGTCTGGCAATCACGAATGTGGAGACTCCTCGTCATTTGCAACATACCTCTGCGAATTTTGGTTCTACGAACAAAGCCTTGCCCTCGGCGACCATAACAGGCTCACTCGCATCGCCCACAGGCGGCAACGATGTTAACGTCCCCTCAACCCACGCCTTCCGGCCTTCGACCTTGACCGTCTCCGCCCGAAGCACATAGAGTCGGTCCGGCAACGCAGGTTTCCGGAAATCCACGTTCAGGTTGGCCGTCATACCCAGGCCACTGCGAAACGAAGTCGAAACACAGCGCGCAAACGCCTCGTCGAACATCACCGTCAACAGACCGCCGTGCACGAAGCCCGGATGTCCGCAGAGTTGTGGGCCGATATGGAATACCGACACCATCCGGCTGGTCGTCGTTCCCGCGGCGGTGCGCGGGTTCTTCGCCATCCAGACATAGGGCGGCACGGTGATCTTGCCTGGGCCTGAGTTTGGCCCTGCGACGAAGTGGTTGGGGCGAAGACTGGGGTTCATTGCGAGATGAGGGCGGGATTCGATGTAGGCGGGATCGCGACGGAGGGCTTGTACGATGGGTGTTTGGGAGATTAGGTCGTCGATGGGATTGGTCTGAGGGCGGGGTCGTTGCGCCGCTGATGGTGTGCGATTAGGGAGAAACGATGAGGAGCCATTGTCAACGGCGGAAGAAGTGTGACTCGAATGATGATCTTGAGCGACGGCTGATGCGCCCTGGATAGATCGCTGAGAGGAGCGGCATGTAGATACGGGAGCGACGAGTCGGCTTGTTCGGCTGACCCTACTCAGACAGCGGGAGGGCCTTGCGAGCCACGACATGACGATTTAATTCCCGGATGTATATCGTCACTGATGTGTGCTTAGCTGAGTCTTGACTAGGATGACAGGTCAGTAACCAGTTCGCGTACCTCCTTCGTCTTTCAGCTTTCTTCAACGACTACCCCTCGGTAATCCGCAATCGGAGCAGGGATCATATCAGCAACTGCAAGGTAGATAGAAGACTCACCACAAGGTCATAAAATAACAGTCTAGTTCAGTCTATAGATTCTCCGCTCCGGAGTTAGAGCACCGGCAAAGTCCAGCAAAAATCACAGAATCACAAAATGAAACTAAATTCCAAAACCCGGATCCAGGATTTACAAAAAGTAGCTGCATGACTCGGGCTCAGGCCGTGATCACCAGCCGAAAAGAAGTGCCGTCATCGGGATCAAATTTGCAGCAAATCTCGAAAGAGATTGGCGGACAGATCCCGAGAGTGGGTAACCTAATTGTTAAATCGAAAGAACGAGAACACAATTTTGGTACGTTGAATGGAGATAGGAAAGATCGGCATGCCGAAAGTTTGGTCCTTGGTATCGGTTTGCCGAGGCGGGATTAGCGCGAATTTTTTGACTCCATACATCTTGCATATAATCTAGCCTGGGAACATTGAGGGTTTGGTGAGATATTAAGATGATGAACTCGATCAATATTTGACAGGTTGTAGACTGATACTGTATAGATTAAGAGAAAGTGAGGTCAGAGTCATACTCGTCATTCCTCTAGTGCATTTTTGTAACAACAGGGTCAAGGTTGAACTGAGGAGAGTGACAGGATATGATAGGATCAAGCATGGCTTGGCACAAACAATATGATTCATATGAGGTTCATATATTGTAAGGCATAGGAGGAACGGATATGGTTCTGTCAAGTGAGAGTGTAAGCAAGCAAAGCTTGAGGGTATGAAGTTAGTGACTGCTCTGTAACCTTCTTTAGTACTCTGTAGTTTATGGGAATGGTGAACAGGGTTGTGAATTGTCAATCAAGAGCTACAGGATATATCATCAGAGTAAGTCGAATGAAAACTTGAGAAAGTATCAATGTGCCAAAGCTATAAAGAATCAAGCTGGGAGTGCTTTCTATGCTGGCAAAACTGGACTTGATAAGGTATTAACTGTATTTACGAGTCTGATAGAGTCGCCTATTTCCAAATATACTAACTGTCAAAGACAAACTGCGAATGACAAAAGAGGAGTTCTCAAGTGAGTGTTGTCTAGCTGGAAATCATGTGTTGCTCTCAGTGAATGGCAAAACATCTGCTCTTTACTCAGTCTTCTCTCGCCTCAACACATCTCACTTACTCTCCCTTCCCCTTCTTCATCCATCCCAGACACCTCAAGGTTCTATTCCTCATTTTCCATCTCCTAGCCTCTTATACATCTCAGTACTTATACCGTTAACCAACCATGGATGCGGCTAGTTCTGTAGTGATTCTTGACATCCTACGCGAAGATATCAGGGACACCATGGACCGCAGCAAGGGTAAGCAGCCCGCTGGGCGATTGTCAGACGAAGAACTTGCTCTCCACCTCTGGCAAGAGGAACTAGATAACTACAGCCGATCTCTCGACGATGAGCGACTTGCGAGGAGCATTGCTCGAGCTGTGGTCGATGACGGCGTCGCAGTAACCACCGCACGACAAGAAGAGCTCCGCGCCTCTGACGATCATAGACTCGCTCTCGAACTGTCCGGACAACCTGTACCCCCACCACAGCCCCACGATCGAGCAGTTGCGGTCCAGCTTTCTGAAGACAAAATGAAGGACTTCATTGATTTGACGCTTGCAGACACCGATTTCAATTTTTTCCCCACGAGAGTTGCTAGTCAGCACGCGCAGTCTGAAAGCTCGAGGAACCCGAAGCGTTGTTGCATCACTGCTCCATCCGACGAGAAGCCTCTCTATGAGTGTGCTGTGTGCACAGAATTTGTTCCGTCGACAGCTACAATCCCAGCGCCCTGCCACCACATATACTGTCGGATTTGTGCGGTAAGGCTCTTCCAAGACTCAATGACAGATGAAACACTGTTCCCACCTCGTTGCTGCAGAAAGGAAATTCCACTCTCTCTTGTCAGTGGGTTCCTCGGCTTGGCCCGGAGCCAGGAGTTTGAAGAGAAGGCCATCGAGTTCAGCGATCCGCATCGTACCTATTGCTCAAACCCTTCCTGCTCGAAATACATCTTCCCGTATTCAGTGTCCTCCTATATCGGTACGTGCAGTCATTGCTCCTCCAGAACATGTATGCGGTGCAAGAAGGCAGCGCACGAGGGTGACTGCCCGGACGAAGACGAAGAGCTCCTTCAACTGGCCGAGCGCGAGGGTTGGCGGCGTTGCTTCCAATGCCGAAACATGATAGAGCTTGGAACAGGTTGCAATCACATCACGTAAGGTTATCATTCATCTTCACACAAAGTCTGACTCTAACCGTCTAACGTTCAGCTGTCGGTGCGGCGCGGAATTTTGCTACACGTGCGGTGCGAAATGGCGGCAGTGTCGATGCGAGCTGTGGGACGAGAACAGACTGGTTGATCGAGCCCGTTATCTCGTTGACCGTGGCAGGGACCCAGCTCAACCTGCTCAGCCTGCGAGACCAGAGCAGGTCCAGCAGATGGTACAGCAGTTACTTGAACGACATGAATGCGATCACGAAGAGTTCTGGCCGCGCGTCCCTGGGGCTCATCAGTGCGAGGAGTGCCATGACCATCTTCCCAACTATATCTTGCAATGTGGACAGTGTGGGATTCGAGCTTGTCGGAGATGCAAGCTGAATCGGTTGTAAGGATTCGCGTTAGCATGAGAGGAGCCTTGTTGGGACAGAGTACGATACTTTTCTGTTTAATATCTGATGGAAAAGTGTGATAGTGCAAAAGGTAGAAAGCCTTTAATGTCTGCGGTGTTGTCTGTCGATGTATGCTACCACGGCGGTTCTTGAAGAACGCCCGACTATCGAGACTGAAATCGAGTGTGATGGTTCAAGGCAATTAATCTTTGGTATGGTATATACATACAGTTTAAAAGTTCAGTGGATCGACCGGCCCCAGGAATGAAGCATTGCCTTCTCCACGGAGCAATGCATCGATATCCACGCGCCCAGCAGTCAGATACCGCTCGCTAACGCCCACATTCACCCGCTGGGAAAGCAACTGCTTCAATTCCGCCCGCAACCCCGCCAGCTCGGCCTTACTGACGCTCCCTACCTCCTTTTGTTTCAGATGACGACCACCGCCGCGACCACGCCCTTTGCCGTTGGATTCGTCGAACTCCTCGCTGTCGTACTCAACGCCCAAATCCTCCGCTGCGTTGCGCAGCCAATTGTCCTCTGCTGAAATCTTCTCCTTGGCTATATTAGCATCGGTAATGCGGCTGGCAAGGGTAACCCGGGGCTTGACGCGTGACACGACGCGACGGTCCAGCTCCAATGATTCCAGCGGCAACTTTTTGCCATTTGCCATGTTGGCATGCACCTTGGCAGCGAGCCGGACGACACCGACCATCTCGTCTGGTCCGCAGATAATGACGCTCTTACCGGATGCGCCAGCACGTGCTGTACGGCCGGAGCGGTGAACGTAGGCATCTGCTGTTCGGGGTGCATGGTAATGGATGACGAGGTCTATGCCTTTAATGTCGAGGCCGCGGGCCGCTACATCAGTGGCGACTAGGATAGAACTGGGATCGGATGAGGGCGAAGAGAAACGTTCGACCGAGCGAAGTCGTGCCTTTTGGGCCATGGATGAATGAAGGGCAAGGGCCGGGAGTTGAAGATTTTGAAGGAGTTTGGTAAGACGACGGACGGCAGAGATCGAATTGGTGAAGATGAGTGTCCGGTGTTTGGGATGGTATAGAAGTAGTGTGTAGAGGAAGAGATCCTGGAAGGTCATTAGTCCTAGACTCTACATCACCGACGCTCAACGAGAACTCACTTTTTCCATGGCGCCGCATTCGACAATTCCCTCTTTGAGGTTGTCGGCCATCTGCGAGATGGGGTTCATATCGATGAACTTGGGCTTCTCCTCCCGGAAGTTCAGCTTTTGCAGCAGGTAGTCCATGGATTCTTTCTTATCCATAACATCTCCTCCGGTCCACTTCCCTTTACCAGCCAACTTCTGTTGCAGATCACGGTGGAAGGTGGCGGAGAAAACCAATGTTTGTCTTTCAGAGCTAGGATCAGATTCCTCTTCCGATGCTTGATTCTCACCGTCTGGAACCTCGCCATCCTCGACACGGTCCAGAGCGTTCAAAATCTCTTCAACCTCTTTGAAGTGGCCCTCACTCAGAAGTCGATCGGCCTCATCGACAACAAGAAATTTCATCTGCTGCATCTTCCGGATCAACCCTTGCCCAGTGCTCATAATCTCCCACACTCGACCTGGTGTTCCAATCACGATATCAGCTCCGGACAGTAGACGTTGCTGTTTTTGCACCGAGAGTCCACCAGTCAAAAGCGCAATGCGTGCATTGATACCCGGAGCTTGGGCGATAAGCTCCCCGATATGCTTCGACAACTGATGAGCAAGCTCTCTGGTGGGTGATAGTATGAGAGCAATTGGGGGTGAATCTTTTTCTGACTTCTTCCCATTCTCTGCACGAATATCATCGCGTTTCTTCTCCAGATAATGTTCAAGGATGGGAATACCAAATGCCAGCGTCTTTCCAGAACCCGTAGAAGCCTTTCCAATAACGTCATGTCCCACCAATATCTGAGGTATGCAAGCTTCCTGCACTGATGTCGGAGAGGCAAACTTCATCTTGGACAGGCCGGTGAGTATTTCGGGGGAGAGACCCAACGAATCCCAAGCAGAAACATCAACACCATCATCCTCCTCCGCATCTTGCAGAGCGGCAAACGAAAGGCCGGCTGCAATGCTCGTATCGTGCTGAATTGCCGAACCTTTCTCCTTCTGTTCCTTCTTCGCAGCTTTAGCTTCTTTCTTCTTTGTATCCTTGGCTTCCTTCTTGTCGGCATTCTTCTCGCTCTTCTTGTCCGCCTTCGTGTCCGACTTTTCAGGTTCCTCTACGTCGGGTGAGGAATCGTTTTCTGGCTGGTCCGCGTCCTCGTCGCTGAAGCCTGACCACTCGCCATCGTATTTGGGTTCCTGGTCCTCTGGCGCCTTCTTTTTCAAAATGGACTTCTTCGGTTTCCCAACAACAGCCTGGTGTTATTGAGTGTCAATGGATCATACTTCAACCAGTCAGCATGTGTTTCAGCCTACCTTGAATTTAACCTCTCCATTGCCCGAACCTCGCACTATATCAACACCTTCAATTTCTTCCAGACCAAAGAATCCTCCGGCATCCTCGAGACGGTCAGGAAGAGGTACTTCCTTCCAGTTCAGCTCGTCCGCGCCGACAATCCCGTCCCAGCCATCGTCCGGATCAGGTGCAGCCGTCGAGTTCTCGGCCTTCTTCCGCTTTTTAGCGTGAAAGTTCGAGCTTTTCGAGTCGCGCTGCCTTTTTTGACCCATGATTTCCAGTGTTGATGTGAAGAGAGCCAAGTGGAAGAATCGTGGCCTGCGACGCAAATCAATGGAAGCGGTGATGATCTTTTTTGCTTGCGGAGATGAAAAAAAGCGGCAGAAAAAAGGCCCGCCTTTTTGCGGATTTTAATCTTATCGCTTCATCTCCCCCACATTGAATTTCTGTCAGGGATCCAGCTGGAGAGCAATTGATACATCCACACTGCCTTGCAATCCCAGTACTTGTGGGGATTGTTATCAATTCGTTAGAATGGGAAAATCCTCCAAAGATAAACGTGACGCCTATTATCGCCTCGCGAAGGAACAAAACTGGCGCGCCCGTTCCGCTTTCAAACTGATTCAGATCGACGAACAATTTGATTTGTTCGAACATGAAAACCCCGAGAAAGTGACACGGGTCGTTGACCTTTGCGCCGCTCCAGGAAGTTGGAGTCAAGTCCTCAGTCGAGTCCTGATCAAGGGAGAGAGCTTTGGCCGGCGGGCGTGGATCGAGAAAAAGCGAAAAGAGCGCGAGGCTTTGAGAAGAATCAATCATGGATCGGAAAGTGAGGGTCCAGCTGAAGAAGAGGGGAATGACGGAGGCGCCCAATTGAAGCCCAGAAGGAACGTGAAGATCGTCTCAATCGACCTTCAACCCATGGCGCCATTAGAAGGTATCACAACGCTCCAAGCCGACATCACACATCCGTCTACGATCCCTCTGCTCCTTCGTGCCCTCGACCCTGAAGCTTACGATTCGACATCTTCCTCCACCCCTTCGGCCATCCAACAACCCCATCCTGTTGATCTCGTCATCTCTGATGGTGCACCGGACGTCACCGGCTTGCACGATCTGGACATCTACATTCAGTCACAGCTCCTGTACTCCGCGTTAAACCTGGCAGTAGGCGTCTTGAGGCCAGGAGGCAAGTTCGTAGCCAAGATCTTCCGAGGCCGCGACGTCGACCTAATCTACGCACAGCTCCGGACGGTATTTGAGAAAGTGAGTGTTGCAAAGCCGAGAAGCAGTCGTGCGAGCAGTTTAGAAGCCTTCGTGGTTTGCGAGGGCTTTATTCCTCCAGCCATCCATGACGGCTTGGTCGGAATGGAAGCATTAAAGAACCCTCTCTTCGGCGGCGCAGCAGTACCACAGCCCGTGTCTGCAGATGGCAACATTGGAGTCGAAGTACCCGACGAGGACAGTGTATCACCAAGAGAGACAGTCACACTTCCAAAAGCAGCGACGGTGTCTGCACCTGATTCAAACCAACAAACCCAAACTCGCATGCTTCATCCGCAATCTTCAATCCCGTCCCTGGCAACCAAGCCCCAGCGTTTTGCCGTCGAGAACCGATGGATTCCTCCATTCATTGCCTGTGGCGATCTTTCTTCCTGGGATTCTGATGCTTCATACTCCTTGCCCCCGGACTATGTCAACTTGGATCCTGTTCAGCCACCTACGGCACCGCCTTATCGGCGAGCATTGGAGCTACGGAAGGAAAAAGGTGGAGCTTATGGTAAGACGAAGTTAGGAGCCGTGGGACGAGCATAGGTACTTTGGATGGACCGTGTCTACTTTACTTTTCATTGTTTATAATACTTTTCTCCTCATATCTCTACATGAGTACGTGTCTCTTTTGGGGATAGAAGGTGTTGGCGTGAGCCTTGTGCTATCAATTGAGTCTACATTGCAGGTATAGAGGAATAGAGCAGATACCCATTGGATTCCGAATGAACGATTCACTGTGAAATGCAATTAAAGTCTATCTAGATGACATGAGTTGAAGAACTGTCATCGAAGAAATCCAAATCTATCGTTGAGTCTCATGATGGAAGCGCTAAACTGAAGTGGGAAAAATGGGTCGTCACATCATGCACAATGGCAGCGGTGTGGGAAACGTAGCGGGAAATCTTAACAGCTTTCTCCAAAAGAAATCCATCTAATAAACTTCAAGAACATATCTCTCCTCATCCTTGAGTTTCTCTATCTCCTTGCGAGTGTCGACCTTCTTGCCTGTGTTCTTGGCCTCGGTGGCAATGGCCTCCTCCAGCACGGCAGTCACATCAGGAACAGGCCAGGTGGGACCGCAAAGATAGAAGGCACCCTCTTCCCGGATGTAGGCCTGGATGATTTCAGGCAGAGTCTCGCGCATACGGTCCTGGATGTAAATCTTCTCAGGTTGATCACGAGAGAAGGCACGGCCAAGAAGAGTGATGACACCGGCTTCCTGGTAGGCTTCCCATTCTTCACCATAGCAATACTCCTCGCGCTGGTGACGGGATCCCATGTACAAGAGCACTGCACCAATCTCCTTGCCCTGTGCCT